GTGCTAAGTATTTGGAGGTAGTTGATAAATTAATTTCATATAAACTTAGTTGATGCATACTACTATTATGCTAGATCCACACACAAGTTGTTTTATTATTGACAATGATATTGGAGTTTCCTAGTTTAAGTGACAAAATTTGAGAAAATAAAGTTGTTGAATAGTCATTAGTTTGCACCTATTGTGTTGACTTGGCATCAATATGCAAGACGTTGGTGACTTTATCTCCTTTTTAGGGATCATACGTTGTAGGGTAAAGTCACTTAAACTGCTTAATTATGTTGTAAGAGACCTTTTAATTGAAATATATGATGACACATATTTATTGTGTTAAAAAGTGGTTATGTTATTAAGTTGTTATGTTGTGAAGCTACTGCGTTGTAAAGATGAATTATTAATATGTTAATAATTTGTATAATTGTGTTGACATGTAGTATGATTGATAAGTTGATCTGTGTTGTTAGGTTGAGCATATGACAATGTTGACGATATTTAAATAGTTGACTTAATTGCTTATATATTTTCTTTTTGCATACAAATCTATCCTTATTTTTTCATACTGTTAAATTGTGAAAATTATATTATTATGAGAGTAAGACAAAATTAAGTGAAAGACTTACTTAAGAATTGACCATATTAAAGATGACTTGTCTATTTTGTTGATAGAAAAGTATATAATGATAGAATTTATTTAAAATATATAAAAGATAAAAAAAAGTGTTGAGCTCTACATAATCGAATTTTTTACTGGAATAATATTTTTTTTAAAAAAAATTACAAGAATGATCACTGTGCAGGATTATTTACCAAGATAGAACCATTTACTGTTCAAGCTCAGAATTCGGTTCCCCGGGAACCGAATTCTGAGCATCAAAATGTAATTTTTTTTGTTTTTTCAACTCAGAATTCGGTTCCCGGGGAACCGAATTCTGAGTTGGTTTTAAATTTTTTTTTTTTCGTGTATGGGGCAAATGTGGGCTGATCTGGGAAGCGGAACGACCCGTTCCAAAAGCAAAACGGGCCGTTCTGCTTAAAGAAATAGAGTGCAAATTCTTTAAGCAGAACTGGCCGTTTCACATTCAGAATTTGCACTAAGCAGAACGGCCCGTTCTGCCTTTGGAACGGGCCGTTCCGCTTCCCAGAGCAGCCCACATTTGCCCCAATACACGAAAAAAAAAAATAAAAATTTAAAACCAACTCAGAATTCGATTCCCCGAGAACCGAATTCTGAGTTGAAAAAACAAAAAAAATTACATTTTGATGCTCAGAATTCGGTTCCCGGGGAACCGAATTCTGAGCTTGAACAGTAAATGATTCTATCTTGGTAAATAATCCTGCACAATGATCATTCTTGTAATTTTTTTTAAAAAAAATATTATTTCAGAAAAAAATTCCTACATAATCATCGATGGCATTGGATTACCCATTTTCCACGTAATTACGACATTATTCTTCCACATGACTTTGAAAAACGGAGGGCAGGGGTGGTTTGGTAAAACCGTAGAACGAAAACGATAATTTTTTTATTATTTTATTTTTATCTCTACGAATGTGAAGGGTCAAGGGAAAAAATGAACGAGAAGATGAAATAAAAAAAATTAAGATTTAAATATATTTTTTCTCTCAAATTTAAAATAAATTTATTTTATTGTCTCTTAATTTTAAAAGTGATATTTTTAATTTTTATAATTTTAAAAAATTTTATTTTAATTTTTATACTAAATTTTTATTAAAAATCCATATTATTGATAATTTGAGAAATTAAAATATTTTTTTTAAAAGATTATAAAGACTTCAAATATTAATTTTAAATATAAGAAAAAAAATAAAAAAAATTAAATAAAAAATAAAAAATAGGCTAAAAACCATGTCATTTCATCCTTTACTGTATAGTGTCAATTTGGTAGTAAGTGGTTCACTCCAGTTTGACTAACAATGAAATAAAATCTGCTACTATTGTCTCTAGTGATACACTGCATTGTCCTTAATGATACACTGTATAGCCCAACTGTTTAGCAATTGAAGTTATCAATTTCCATTGACAATATTATCAAATTCAGTGTTTGAAATGTTTTGTACCAAATTCACGTGGATGCCAATTTTTTTGAAAACACCTGGAACCAGAACGGCTCGTTCTGGTTGCACTCTTAGTGTGTTAATTTTGCACCTGAAACGGGCCGTTCTGGATGCAAAATTAACACACCAAGAGTGCACCCAAAATGACCGTTTTGGTTTCAGAACGGGCCGTTTTGGTTCCAGGTATTTTAAAAAAAATTGACATCCACGTGGCATCCACCTGTGCATCTACGTGGCATTCACGTGACCAATAGTTAACTCTGTTTAAATAATTTGGACGAAAGTCTGACATTGCAACCAATTAATTTTTTAGGAAATAAAAATAAAAATGAGATTAAATTAAAACAAACAATTATTATAAGGGATTAAAATACTATTTTAGCCTAAAAAATAAAAATGGAAAGAAAAGGTGAAAAGGTAGAGGGCATGAAAGAGAAAACCTGTTGGCAAAGGATGCTTAGCCAGAAAGATGAAAGAAATACAGAAAAATTTGAATTATGAATAAAAAAAAGTTATATTTCTATGAATGGAAGATAGTCACAGTAGTGCCAGGTTATCTGCGTACATTGGCAAACAAATGACGCTTATTCTCATTTCAATCCATCAACTTTATTTCTTTACATCATTTTCATAATATTAATATTTTACACTCTTTTTAATCTTACATTAATATATAGTAACATTGTTAATTTTATAAAAATTATTTTTTTAAAATAATTTTATTTGTTGATAATGTAAAAATGTTATACAACCAAATGAAATTGAATGCGTATTCAGTTCTTGAATGAGTGAATTCGTTTAAATTCGTCCCCTTTAAGAAAATTATACGGTAATAAGATAATTACTTACTAATTTTTTTTTTATGTGAATCATATGTTTGGAATAGTAGGAAATGTTGCTATCAAATATATAAGAGTTAATTATTTATAAATTGCTAGTATAAAAAAAAAATTATTAGTTATTAGTGTAAATTTTTTTTATACTAACAATATATAAATAATTAATTCAATATATAAATTATTAAAAAAATTATTTTAATTAAATGATTTAAACAGGTTTTTGAGGAGGAACACGGCTATAGCTTCCATTTTCCTCTGAATAATATTTTATAATAAATTTATTATAAAATAATTATTTAATTTAATATTTTATAATTTAAATTAATATTTTAATTTTCGGAATGCTTTTCGAGAGTTGAGGATGTATCATTTTTGTTTTAGGAGTGATTCAAACATCATTACTTTTCAAGCAAACCTAAAAAAAATAAAAAAAATAAAAATTGCGTTTTGATTATGTTGTAAGTAATAACTAACAATTTGCATGGACAACTAAGTTGGGTTAATCATTGCTAAACTATATAAATAAGGTAATATATTAACCAAAAACAAAATATAAATATTTCTTGCTCGTAGTCTAACACTATTTCTTGTAATAGAGGACAAATAAAGTACGAGAATTTTTGTTTTGAATCGAAAATAAAATAGAAAAATAAAAATAAAATTTATTTCTAAAACTGAATATTTTCCTTTTCTCTTTCATTTTCTTCAATAAAATAAAATAAAGTCACCCTTATTTATATATATTTTTTCCGTCTAACTAAACATACCACAAGTTTAAAAGAATATGCGTGAAAAATATTAAAAGTCGAGATTCAGTCATAGATCATATTTACAACAAATGGAAAATATAATTTAATTATTTATGGTTTTTATGTGGGCCCACTGTTGAGATGCATTGCTTCATCAAACGCTGTGGCAATTCTTTCACTGCGACACTGCCACCCTTTCGAAAATCGCCTTCAAACTTACCCCAAATACTTTTCTAGTTACTCAAATATTTTTATACAAAAAGAAAAAAATAATGTTTTCTTTCAATTTCAAAACTAGACACTCTTTGTTTTATTTTAACTAACTCCAACTATTAATAACCGAAAAAGTAAAAAAATTTACATAATAACTTTAATTTATTTTAAGTTTATCTTTTACACACAGCTTTAATCAATTTGATTATAATAAACTAGACACATCAACTTGTATATTTACACGGAAAATAACAGCAGCAGAAAATATTAAATATAATATATATTATGTTTATTCTAAGCGGAAAAATATGTGGTTGCTTGTAACTCGCTTTCTGATTTTGCCATTAGCGTCAAAAATATGTTTTTCCTTTTTTTTTTCTTCTTCATATAGAATGTGCTAGACTATATTTATTTAGTTTTTTTAAAAAACAAAAAGTATTTAAAACCAAGTAATCAATAGTAATTAATACTTTAAAATTTACTAAAGAATTTACAAACCAAGATAGTAATTAATACGTTTCAGAAATACCCAGTAAATCATTAAATTAATACTTTAAAAATTAGCGTAGCTCAATGCCTGAAATTTGACTTGAAATAGATTAATAACATGTTTAGAATTCATTTTGAATTGAGGTGAATTTTCATAAATAAGTATCTATAGATTTTACATCAATCATAACAATTTCACGCAAATTTATAGATAAATGTGAATCACAAAATTATACTTAAACACACTATAATATTCATAAATTTTAAATTTCATTTTACGGTGAATAAAATTAATTTATCACTCACACGTTCTTTCTAATAATCTGGAGCATGAATAGTGAGCGGCAACCGGCAAGCGAAATATTAAAATAGGAAAAAATCAAAATACAATATGGTTATTTCTAAGACATAATTTATTTATATATATCTAAAATTTTAAAATTGAACTGAAAATTCGTGCCGCGAAAAGAAAAAAATTGATAAGATATGAGTTATCGCCGAACAGGCAGAAAATGATGAGACTAATTTACCTATTGGCGCGTGTGGTCCACTCTGAGACGCGACGCGTGAGCGTGGCAGCACCGCCCATCACTCACTGTGTCTCTACAAATACACACTCTTCTCTCTTTCATCACTCCCTCTTTCTCTCACACTCTGTTTTTGCGTTTCGCCAAAAGATGGGTCCCTTCGCTCTCTGCACACCCCATCGTACCTTTTAAAATCTTCACGAATCCGCAATATCCCTTCACTCACTCACTCCCTCTCACTTAAATCTTTTTCTCTCTTCTCTCTCTCTCTCTCTCTCTCATGGCGGATAACTTGGACGACGGCGAGTTCTGGCTCCCGCCGCAGTTCCTCGCCGACGACGACGTCGTTTCGACACCCTTTGACGCAAAGTTCCCAGCTTTGCGCGACGACGCCGTTTTCTTCCCCTCCGAGTTCCCCTACGCTGGTGTCCGTTCTTCCGAGCTCGGTTCTCCGGTGGACTCCACCGTCGGCGGCTCCAGCGAGACCGAGAGCGACGAGGAGGAGCAACTCGTCGCTGAGTTAACTCGCCGCATGGCTCGCTCTTCTCTCCTACCTGAAGTCAAGTCTGTGGTGAGCTAACATTTTTTGTTTTATCTCACCTTTTGTTTTTTCTCTTGGTACTAGTGAACTGTGATGTTTATGATGTTCATTTTTTTGTTTAATTTTTTGTGCTTGGTTTTATTTCAGGGTGGGTTTGTCTCTGGTTCACCGCAGTCTACTCTTTGCGCGTTTGGAAGTGGGTGTGGTTGTGGAAAAAGTTCGAGCCAGGGAAGCCCCAATGGTGTTTGTAAGTTGTCCTCAGCGAAAACCACTTGGGATCTGCTGCATGCGGCTGCAGGGGAAGTTGAGAGGATGCGTTTGAGTCAAGAGAGTTATGCTTTCAACAACCAAAATGAACTCTTGATGCTTCCTCAAAGAAAACCCTCTCCTGTTGCCACCTTACCCTCTAAGAACTCTGATGTGGTTTTCTACCCCCAACAATCCCTTTCTCACCACCAGCAGTTGCAAATAGCACAAGTATGTGAAAAGCCCCATCTCGCCAGCTTTTTTAAAACTATTTTTCTCCTTGTTAGGTTGTTAATTTGTGGTTGTTTTTGTGATATTTTTTAGTTTCAGATGCTGAGGCAGCAACAGCTGGCAAAGCAGCAGAATTCGGTGTGGAATGTGCAGAAGCAATGTGGTGGGGTTTACCCTCAGAGGCAAAGCAACCAAGTGGCTCTCACTAGAGTTAGAAGCAATGATGTTAATGTTAATGGTGTTGGTGGAAGGAACGTTAGGCCTTTGGGTTTGTCTGCGTCTGCATGGCCTCCACTACAACATGCGAAGCAGCAGAACCAGCAATATAACAATGGAATGAGGGCTGTGATTCTCGGAAGCCCTTCTGGGAGAAGGGAGTGTGCTGGCACTGGGGTGTTCTTGCCACGGCGAGTTGACAACCCTGAGCCGCGAAAGAAGCCAGGTGAGTTGTACGTTTCTTGAGGATTTGGTGTTTGCATTTGTGAAATTTAATTGGGTCGTTGACATAATTACTGAGGTGGTGTTTGAGGTTTTTGCGGTTGTTGCAGTTGTAATAAATGTTGGTAGATATGCCTTGATTCTGATTAATTGTTAATAAATTTGTGTAGTCGTGGTATATAATTTTTTCGTGCTACGATGTTGATGTTTATTTTTTGTGGGTTTTGGCCTAATGTTTTTGTGCTTGCAGCGTGTTCGACTGTGCTGGTTCCCACTAGAGTGGCGCAGGCCCTAAATCTGAACCTCGATGACCAGCCGCAGCACTTGCAGCGATTTAATTCCAACATAGAAAATGGTGAATATTCTACTTACGCCTTGTGGCCCTTTTGAAATCCTTGTTTGTATTTGTATATTGTGATGCAAAATGTTTGGCTTATTGAACAGTCTATCTTTGACTTTTTGTGCATTTAGGTGCTTCAGCGGTTTCCAGGGTGAGGAGTAATTATATCCTTTCGAATCAGAAACGTAACCTCAAGACTCAGCCAGCGGTGTATCATGAAATTAGACTGCCACAGGAGTGGACATACTGATACTGAAGCTTGTGGATGAAGGGGAGAATAGTATTATGTTTTTTTTTTGTTTTTTAAGTAGGGTTCTTTAGGAAAAGGGGTAGGGATTGGAGGGGGTAGAAATGAAAAACGTAGTCTTCTACAGAAGAGTAGTTTATAGAAGAAATAGGTTTTTGTTGGCAATTGGGGGAAAATGAAAAAAAGATGCTAAATGAAAAAGGCAAAGCTTTGGTGGTGGGAAAATATAAGATGGTCTATTTGTTTTTTGTTTGGTTTGGTCACAATAGTAGTTAGGGGTTAAAAATAATATTAGGAGACTCTGGAAACAGCTAGCAATGGTGCAGCAGGGCTGAAATTGCCAGTGATATCAGTTACTTTTGTTCTTTTTGATGGGCTTCGAAAGTCACAAGGAAAGACAAAAACGGTGGATGGGTCAAATTTTTTGCCCTTTTCTTATTTGGTGCTTTAGGGTAATAAACTAGAGTTTGGGAAGCCAATGTTAGCAATTTGGAATGGCTGAACAGGGTTTGCAGTGGGATTTACAGCTCCTTCCAATAGTTGAGTCAATTTGGAATCATTTTGGGGGAATACTTACTGATTCCAACCTGTCCACCCGCATTACTTTACTATAAATAATAATGCAAGTAATTTTCATTATGTTGTCTCATTTTCTGATAATGATGTTTGCTTGGTCCTTATTTTTTTGCCACTCCAATTACATATTCCTTTTGTTCTCTAGATTGTAGAAATTCAAATTCAGTCACTTAATTAGTAAAAAAAAAACGGAGTTAATGGCAACAATGTTGATGTAGTAATTGTCAATTATATAATCTTGAATTGTGAAAACGGTTTCTCGTAAGATGTATCTGACCGAAGGCGTGGTTGCTTTTCTAGTACAATTTAAAGTAGCTTTTGCTATGCCCAAGGAGTAGTTGCAGCTGGAAGTGTGTAAATTTAATAAAATTGCCGAACCAATTGAATACTATGATAAAAAAATAAATGAAGAAAGCAAACTATAGCAGGAAAAGTTAGTGAGAACGTCTTGATGGGTCCATCATGTAACATAGGTAAGATTATTAGGCCATTGCTTGGGAAGGAAGCTTCGGTGCAACTGGGAGGAGGTGCAACTTTAACACGTGTAAGGTAGAAGGGTTTTGCTTTAGGAATGCTCACAAATCGTTTTCATAGGCAGCTTTGTTTAATGGCTGAAAAATCAATGTCTAGTCTCTGTCTTGGAACTCGCAAATGTGATGCCTTGTTTTTAAGACTTTTGAGGAAACGTAGCGATCCAATATGGGGTGTTGTTCTCACTTGTTAGTGAGGGAAATGCATGGCCAACTCAACTCTACATGGGTTACAAAAGGAAGGTGGTGGTCATTGCAATTGCAAGACACATAACGTAGCATTAACACCAAACCGTGCTTTCCTTGCTTCCTTTATTCGTGCCACCCAGTTTTCCTTTTCCCTTTTTTCTTCTTTTTTATTTTTTCACCTCTTTTGGTGCACTGGATCTACGCTCGGTAGCCTTTGTTGGAATGCTCAGTTTTATCTCCAGGATTTGCAAGATCTTTCCTCTCAAAAGTTTGGATTTGCTGTTAAAGTTGGCTCTTATAATTAACTCTATTCTACTTTTTTGTTGTAATAATTTGGTTTAATACACCTGTATGTCCTTAATTTTTTTTTGAAAATTTTTAATTATTTTCTAAACTAAATTTTATAATCAGGTTTTTCATCGATTGCAATTTTTGAAGTTGGATCATAAAATTAATAAAATTGTCAGCAATTAGTTTTTTATTTTTATATTTATTTATTTATGCATATCATAACGACAACGTTTCACGTATATAGGATTAAGAAACAGATTAGAAATTACTGTTGTAAGAGGGAGAAAGTGATCGAAAAGAGAGGAACATCAGAATTTAGGTTAAAAAGGAAAATGGGTGAAAAAATAAGGTTATGTTTTTGATTGTACAAAGAAAGACAGGCGAAGGAGGTTTTTGAGTGCTTAGTGATAATTCTCTTTATTGTTGGAACAAGATCCGTGATAGGTAAAATTATTCCAAATCTTCATGAATAAATATAATTTGATTACAAACGAACCATTATAACTCTTGTAAAATAATATAGGTTGAATAAACATTACATTTCCGAAGGGACATTGGATCATTGTAATCAATCATAAAATTGTAGGTTTCTCTTTATTTTCCTTGTAAATAAATGTCTTGGGGGCATTGTCTTGATTGCATACTTCTCCATCAAAGTTTGAGAAAGAAGGGAAGATAGATGTCTTGTGTCTTTTTCTTTTTCAGAATGGTTGATGAACCCCTTGTCCTGTGCAAGTGTCCTTTAAATTTGTTTTTTCTTATTTTTAGGTTATCTTTTTTTTTAATTATGACTTGCACTTCTTGGGATTAATAAATTCTTGACTTATAAAAAAAAAAATATAATCATAATAAGGATTAGTATATGTTAATTTGATTCAACTTTTTATTTTATTTTATTTTATGTAATATTAGTTATTTTAAATTTAAAGATAAAAAAAATAAGAGATTTATCATGTAGATTTTCTTTTTGATAATCAAGTTTGGAAGTTAAAAACTATAGATAATCATGATTCATAGCCCAAATAAGACAGTTAATTTAATGCTTTAATCAATTTATGCAATTATGATTCGGTTTCATTGTGTCATAAGATAATTGTGAGTCATAGTCCATGAAAAATTTAACAGAGCTTTTATATTTGCAAATCATCATATAATTAAATTAGTAATTGTAACACTGAATTGTATTGATATTTATTTAATTTTATTAAGTAAATGATTATATGTTGTTTTAATATTTTAAAATTGTAAAGATTGAGGAATTTTAATGAGTCTAGTTATTTAAAAGTTGTTTTGAGTTGATGTTAAAATTGACTAAATTTAGGAAAATGTATATAAGGTTTTTCTTCTTAAGATTTGAACTTCATAAGTTCATTTCTTTAAGAAACCTAGAGAGAAGTTAGATAGATAGGCTATGGAGCTTGAGAGATTAATGTTCTTCTTTTGATTTTCTAGAAGTGTCCAAAATCCTTCCCTGTAGCAGAGTGATGGTGTCATATCGGTGGATTCAAAGCTATGAGTTAAGAATCAAGGTCATGATTATCATATATGAACACCTGGGGAACCTTTGTTCTTCCTCCCCTTTTCTTGTTTCAGAGCGACTCGTGGTAAAAAAACTTGTAGATTTGATTCTTGTTGTATTTTATGAGTCATATACTGCTTGGAATCATCAAATTGTGGTTGTGTTGTTGATTTGAAGAGTTAAAATCTTGATGTTTATTTTTCTTGTTGTTCTTAGTAAAATGAACAAAGAAAATTTATGATTAGGAGTCTGTGATGGTTGCATGCTGGAATTCTTTTGTTATTTGAGTTGTTCTAAAAGTAGAAGTATTTATTTATTTATTTTTGTGATTTACATGTTGAATTGGTTGATGATTGTAGTTGGTTGAGTTAAATCGCAATTGTGCTAGGTGCAGAAATTGTCATCATGTCATGCATAACTTCATGATGTTGGATGTGATGCAAGTTAGATATTCTTTGCCTCACTAGTGTCAAGCGTAGGTTGAGTAGTTCCAAAAGTGTGTCAGTTAAGGGCTCTATGATTTGGTTACATTGGGCATGGGTTGAGGGGCACCGAATGTGATTGTCTTAAAAGCTCTTTGACTTGGTGGCGCCGAACGCAATATGAGTGGCATCGGGCGTGAGCAAGTCAAAGACTCTCAACCTTAACAATGTTGAATGCGATTGTGTTTCATTGATCGTGGATAAGGCAGAGGCTCTTTGCCTTGGTGACATCAGACATAGAATTGGTAGGGTTAGGCCCAATTTAGACATAGACTCTATCTCATTGATGTTAGGTGCAAGAGGATTTTCGCTGGATGTGAGTGATCCAGAGGCTTTCTGCCTCATTGATGCCAAACGTAGGAAAGTGATGCGAAGCATGGACATTGGGCATAAGTAGATCACATCAGGTGTGAATGTGTTGAATGTATATGTTGTATATTGTATTGTTAATGTATGGGAAGTATGTTGACATGTATTATTATTGTGTTGTGTTATGCATGAAGCATGTTGTAGTGTTGAAATATGTTGGTGAGATGCTTGATGCATGTAGTTGTGTTGTGTTGTGGACTTAGGATTATAGGGTACGTGTTATTTTTAAAAGTTGAAATATCCCATTGTATGAATATGTGTTGTGGTGATCTAAAAGCTTAGTTGTTGAAAAATCCTTCTTGAGTATTATTGGCTCTTGAAGTAGAATATTAAGTCTCATTTAGGTCTTTTTATTTGATATCATATTGGGATCAAGCAAAGCTATATTGGTTTAGAAGCGACTAATTTGAGTACAATATAGAGTCGAGAGATAAAATCCTTAATTGATTGTTGAAAAGGCGAACAATATTTGGAGGATAGTCGGTCGATTAATTTCATATAGGCGTAGTTGATGCATACTTATGTCGTGGTAGACCCACATCCAAATTTTTCTACTCTTGAAAATGGTATTGAACTTTCCTAGTCTAAGTGGCGAAATTTGAGAAATCAATAGAATTTTTTTGGGGCATTAGTATGTTGTTGGATGTGTGGACCTGACATTGGTATGTTAGATGTTGCTAACTTAATTTCCTTTTTATGGATCAGACATTGTGATTTGGTAAGATCAAACCACTTAGATTTCTTACCTATGTTGTAAGAGATTTATAAGTTGAAATAAGTGACTACACATAAGTTGTTGTGTTGTTGAGATTCCTATGTTGTTAGCTATTGAGTTGCTAAGTTGAGATGTTGTTGATGAGTTTTCCTATACATATGTTAAGTTGATATGATGTTGAGTTGTATAATTCTGTTGTAGAGATGAAAAGATGTGTTGTATGATGAATTGTGGTGATAAATTGATCATTGAGTTGTAGTTGTGTTTTGGTGATGAGATTGTTTTATAGTTAGCTCATATGCTTCTATATTATGTCATTTTTTGCTTAAAAGTTTACTCTTGCTCTTTTCTTATTGTTGGATTGCAATGATCATCTTATTAAAGGAGTAGAGCAAGATTAGGTAGGAAGACAAGTTGAGTGTTGAGAGTCATACTAGAGATGACAATGTTTTGTTGGAGCTATTCGAAGACAACTTGTGTATAGTGGTTATTTGACTGACAACTTAAGATTTACATTTACTGTTTATATATATATATATATATATATATATATATAGTATTCATATCTTTCAAGAAAGGGAAATGTTATGATACCCTTACTATCCCAACACATATATTGTAATAATGTAAATAAACTAAGGAAATAAAATTTTCAACATAGGTAAAAGGGTTCACATAAAAGCCTTTAGAAACATTCTTCAATATCCAAAAAATTCTGAAAATGAAACTTAGAAAATAAAACACAAGAGGTTACAAAATGTTTTCAAAATAATAGGTTCAACTCCATATACAAATACAATTCATGTCCTAGAAATCCTCTGCCTCGATGTCACAATATCAGAGCATACCCATAATTCAATTGTTGGCATTCTAGATGCCACTCAAAGCCAGATCTTCCTCACCTAAAATATCCACAAATTGTACGGTGAGAAAAGAAAATATCTATATGTGTAACACCCCAAATTTTTCTACTAATATTACGAATAATT